ACGGACGTCACGTGACCTTAACCACGCGGTTAATGCTGTGAAGCGGTCGCAGTGTGTCGGTCCGGGCTTTGACCCGCCACCTCCTTATATGGACTATATGCCTGTTTATAATCCGTCACCTGACTTCCTCCTTTGCTGCCATCGTGCGGCCCCTAGAGGGCGCTGCCGCAACAACCGTTGGGTCAGATAAGGAGCAGCACAAACAAGCTGCACTGCGCAGGGCTCCACGCTACAGTGAAAAACGTTCGAGTACGACTGAGTTTAACAAACTGTTTATTATACACACATTTATAGTGCGTGTGCGCTCCACTGTGGCGTGACACCATCAGAGGACTGTGGAAGTGAAGCCCTGATATCTGGACACTCAGTTCAGTCAAAGCCTTTTAAAATATTGAAACAGACTTTTAAAACACTGGTCAGTCATCTTAAAAAACTTGTCTGTGATTGGGATTCACGATCCAGCAGCAGCTCCCACACCTGATGGAAACAAGACTAGAGAGCAGCGTTACCGTAACTTCAGTAAAACAGGAGGAGGCAGGTAGAAGCAGCACATCCTGACGTCCTCTCCACAACACGGAGGAGAAACTAGTTTAAATGAGTGTGGAATTATAACATTAGATAAAAAGTTACATTTGAGTCTAATTCTGTGCTGTTAATACGTTCAGATAGAATTTTACTGTATGCATTGTGATTCTATGTAGGCTTAAAGTAGACTGGGCCGACTGTACAGCTCACCGCGTAAGAACAATGGCCGACCTCGCTCTCTGACTCTGTTAAAGCTGCGATCACAACCGCTGATGCAGGAGTTACACATCTGAAAGTTTACTGCAGCACGTCGACCTTTTTTATGTCCCGTCCAGGCGGTGATTGTTGATGAAAAGTGAAATTGACGAGCACGTCGATTTTATGAAAAGTTGCACGTGTTTCAACAAAAGGCTCCTGACGCCGCTGAATATCCGGCTCGCTCGTTGCAGTTACTCGGTTACTCGCACGTTGTGCTTGTAAATCGTTTTTCCGGTTCGCATGCGAGCAGAATGGTCGTCCTGCCGCGCCTGCTCAGCTGTCATCTCCAGCGCGTGAATCCGCCGCGTCCTGTTTTAATGACCGTGATGCAGCTCTCTCTCTGTCATTACCTCAAACATCTTCCTGCTCCTCGAGCAGCTTGTCATCTTAAATGGATCCTGGAGGTAATCTGAAGGAAATTAATTTGGAGAATCCCCAGACAGGAAGTTGGAGTGGCAGCAGGCCGGGGCTCGGCGCCGCGGGCGGGAGAAGAGACGTGGAACGGGCTTGTATTGTTGAGGGAGAGCAGTGTTTTCTGGGAGGACTGAAGGTTGTGTCTTTCACGACTCCCACGTGTTGTGATTTGGAGCTTTTGTTGGCGTGAAATGAGTCTGGCAGAGCGTCAGGCGGCGGCTCGGCTCTGATTCACTGATACACGGCAGATCAGGGGCCCCTCGCTCTTTGCGGCTTTCTTCTGATAAGCTGGAGGAAGGAAAATGTTTTCTCCTCCAGAGATTGAAGTGAGGCTGAGCTGTCGCAGGTTTAAACGGCTCCGTTCATCAACACCTGATGTTGTTTTCATGTTCAGGAGGATTTAAAGCTTCGGAGTAAAAACAGCTTGTCAGGGACGATTTAGATGATTTTACAAAGAGGCAGCAGAAGGAAAACTTGTCTGTTCTCTTCAGCTCAGTAGCCAACATCAGCCGGCTGTTAGTCTGTGCTGGAGGAGAATGGCTGACCCCCCTTTGAAGGCAGCGCCACGTGGTGCAGGATCGAGTGACCCGGCTCGGTGCGGCCGCCTCAGAAAGACTGACCGCCCTCAGGCTGCCGTTTGAAACCATCAGGACGTTCATTAATCAGAATCAGAGTGATTCTCTGTGGGGGCGAATACCAGCGGCTCTGCCTTCGCTTCCAGCCTACACCGAGACCAGGACCACAGCTGGACCAGAGATCCAGAGCTTCAGCTCCTGGATCACCACAGTCCACGTCACTGCTGACATCGCAGCGAGAACTGAAATTTAGAAATTTTGGTTCCGGGTCGACAACAGAGTTCTGAAAACACGTCGGTCCTGTTTTCCTAGAAGATGGCGACCGGTGCAGCTGCAGCTCCGTGTCAAAGCCTGAATTTCTCTTTCTACCTTTCTACCTTTCTCTGCGTCCAGCGTGGAAAGACGCTCAGCGCCTCGTCACGCTGCTGCCATGTTGTAAAAACACGGCGCTCTCACCGCAGTGAACTGACGTAAGACGCTGACCTCAGGGCCCGTGTCCGACGCTCCTGTCACTGCAGGAGGAGTTAGGGGCCGTCTGAAAAGATCAATACGCTCCATTTCAGTCAACTAAAAATCTGCCAGCGCAGACGGAGACCAGCTGAAACATTTCACAGCTGAGAGTTTGGAAAGAAAAGTTATTTTACTGAAAAACAGTGCAGGTTGTAATTTCTGAATATAGAGACATCATCTGTCCTGGACGTCCTCTCCCTCACACTGTTCGTTCTTCTGTTGTGTTGTTGAAGTGCATGATGGGATTTATTGCTTTGTTTTTTACCGTGGTGTTGACTCGTGGCATTTCGCCGGTATGGACTACTAAATGTCTGGTACCTTCAGAGAACAGAGCAGAGCCTCAGAGCTGCTTAAATCTTTGACTGACGCATCAGAAGTGGAGCAGCTTTAATATTTCACAGGGAATCAGAAATTAATGAAGTCCATGATCGTGGGCTTCAGCGACACCTGGCAGGTAAAGCGACCCTCCCCTGATCAGATGTGTCTCCGTCTGACGGGTCGATTGATATTTTAAAGATGTGGATCGTTGCCTCTCTGGTGTTTTTACTGAACAGACGAAATGTCTTCGTCCAGTTTCAGTGAAAATAAGTTTATAAAGATGAATGCTTCATCTCGGAGCAGAAGAACTAACGGATTCAAAGCATGAAGTTCTTTAAAGCCGAGTCCGGTCTCTGGAGCTTCTGTTGGCTCTCCCGTCAGATGTGATGAAAGTTTGATGTTGAGTCTTTCACTCGGCCTTCAGCTCGTCTCCTCGTGTCGCTGCTGAAGCCTTCAGCTGAATACCAACTGCAGCTCGACAGCATCGACGGACGAGGATGAAGAAGCGTCCGCTCAAAGGATGTTTCTGTCGGGACGGAGGAGTTCAGTCCTGCAGGATCAGCGACGCTTCGTTAGCTGGAAGCCACAGGAAGCAGACGGAAATGCTGATGTTTCTCTTCTCTTGCACAGCGTCGTTTTATTTTTCTGCCCGTCAGACTAAAGAACGAGTGCGGTCCTTCTGACCAATCGGAGCCTCGATGCAGCGTTCAGATGATGCACAGTGTGTTTGTAGAAGACTGACAGTAATGGACCAATCAGAGATCGGCTGTCAGGTTCAGAAGTTGAAGAGGCCCATAACGGGATAAAGTGAAGGTCGGCCGCAGCTTTTAGAGGAGAGTTATCTTAAAGGCAGAGGCTGAAAGGATTAACTTTATTATGAAACATAAAGACGGTGAAGGAGGAGGACAGGAAATGACTCAGACTGGAAACACGCAGGCTCCATGTCTCAGACTGGAAGCTGAGAGGAGGACGGGACCTGGAGGGCAGGTACGGTCAGAGCAGGGGAAGTGGGATGTGTTTTTCAAAGTAAAATCAGACTTTATTTGCTCTGCAGTCAGTTGACACACGGCTCTGTTCTGATACCCCCCCCCCCCAGAGCCTTCAGCATCACACTCTGACAGCTGGCTGTTGAAGAAATGAGGGACCGTGGAGCTGAGAGGTTAAAGAAGTAAATCAGGGATGCAAACTAGTCCTTTCAAGCTAATTAGGAGAAGTTTCTTTTGGATTTTAATGCGCAAATGAAATGCTCTGTAATTATCCAGAGATCCTGTAGAGAACAGATGACGCATCTAGATGCATCGATTATCGTTGCCCAGAGAGTCCCGCCCTGGTTCACACTACACCGACCTGGGCCTCCACGGCCCGGGGCTGGTCTGGAAGAGGGGCCCTTTACATTATTAGGCGGGTGGTCATAATTCAGCTCATGTACCTGACCAGCCTTCATGCCAGTGGAAAGGAGCTGATGTTTGGCGGACATGTTTGTTAACGTGTGTGTGAGGTGAATTTATGAGCAGGTCATGTGACCTGGAAGAAAGCCACTTCTCTTTCTTCAGTAAAGTGTGACGGTAGGACTCCAGAGTGCGTCTCTCTCTCTCTGAGCTTATTGCAGGAACTCGTCCTCACTTTGATCTGCGCTGCCTTCAGGCTCCGTCCTCATTCTGCTGATGTCACAGTGCAGCTGACGGCTCATTGGTCTGTTAGTGTGCAGCTGCAGGAAGTGAAAGAGGAGAAGCAGGAGACAGAAACAACCAATCAGACGAGATTTATTTCAGCCAGTCACCTGATTCCTGTTAGTCAGGTCAGTCTGGTATCATCCCTCGATGGACAGAAAGTTAAAGATGTCCCTCTGAACCTCTTTAGGGACTGAAGACCTCATCGTGGACTCTGAGAGACTGAGATGGACTGTCTTAGGAATGTCTACTCTAAATGATGATCAGTTACTTGGGTTAGGGTTGAAAGACGCTTTCCAAGAACAGAACATTACCATCTCAGACGTCAGCTCTTATTAACGGTTAAGGACACATTTCAGTTCTGCTTTGCAAAGTCAGACTCTGATCATACGAGTCCCGAGTTCCTCGAGAGCTCAGGAGGTCTTCCTTTAAAGGGGGTGGGATCGGGTCAGACCAAGCTGGTGGGCTCTGCTCCTTCGTTATGCTGGCCTCTCGTTAATTAGATATTGTGATTCCGCTTGTCCATTAGGGACCTCCTGAGCCCTGCACAGGTCAGGGGCCCGCCGAGGCTCCTGGGGGACAGTTTATCAGTTTGCTGGACGGATTTAAAACCCTCATCATCGCTGCCGCCGTGCTCCTCCTCCGACAGACTGCCGTCGATCTGAGGCTGTGAGCAGGAGGGATGAGTTATGGTTGTAACAGACATTAGTCCTGAAACCTGTGGACCTCTGACCTCACTTCCTGTCTGTGTGCTCAGGTCCGGTGACGAACGCCATCATCATGGCGGCTCCTGCTAACATGTTCCTGCCCGACAGTCGGCCTGCCATCCCTCTGCCACGCTTCAGCCGACACCTGCACGCCTCCGAGGGCGACGGGGGCGAGTCAGGAGAGGTGTGCGTCCGACTCGGACCCTACACTCAGGTGAGTCCGCAGGTGAAGCGTTGATACCGACGGGACAGTTTGACTAAATGTGAACACGTTTCATTTAAATCAAAATGAACAAGCATGAACCTCGTAGATGTTAACGTCCATCATCTGTCCCGGTAGTGAAGCTGACATCCTGTTCAGACAAGGCGCATTCAGGACTAAAACTGTCGACCGTTTCACCTTCAGACCAAAAGACTTTTAATTTGAAATTAGGTTAGACTAATCCCTCCCACTAGAGAGCCAATCGTCTGCTTTTTAACAGCCGGGAAACATTTTCAGCCAATCGTGTGGCGGCGAGGAGCACGTGTGACCGGATCAGATCACTACCTGTCCGCCAGAATACGGTGTGACCTGCAGTCCTCGCAGCGAGCCTTCTGTAAACGGAGACGGTATCTGCTGACTGCATCCAGAACCTCAGTTAGCTTAGCATCAATTCCAGGTGGGAGGAGCTCACGGCGTCCCGTCCCGGCGCTCTGCATAGAGCCGTAAATGAAGGCGGTGTGGTGAAAGCTCGTGCAGCAGAAGTCTAACCTGCGGGGAGAAACTCTTTTTAAACCTTATTCTGGGACAAAGTCCTCAAACTGTGATTCATGCAGGTTTCATGGGGACCAGAGAAAGAGCCGTTCTGGCTCTCTGCCCGTTCAGAGAGAGACCTGATCCTGGTGGTCCCAGATACCTGAGGCCGAGGGGCGGGACTCTCAGCTGGGAGACGAGCGGCGAGTTCTCTGCGTTCCACCAGCTCTCTGAACTTTTTACTCGAATAAATAAACTAAACCCACAAAATGTCAGAGAGGAAATTTTCTTCCACCTGAAAAACCCGAGCGTGCGCCGTCTCTCTGAACTGCTCGCCCCAAAACATTCTTTTATTTTGAAATCCAAAAGCGTTCAGACATTTATTTTGAAATGTTCTTCATGTGCTCTCAGGAGGAGGAGGAGACGTACCTGCAGAAAGCTGACCGGCTGAACTCGCTGATGAACGCTGTGACTGACAAGGTGAGAGGGGGGCGGGGCTGCAGGTGTTCCCTCACCTGTCCCTGGGAAGTACCCCTTTAACCTAGAGCCCTCGGAGTGGGCGGGGCATATGTTTGATTGAGCAGCAGGAGCATGGAGGTACAAAGTAAATAAGCCGGTTGTGGCGTTAATAAAGTTTAAATCTGAACTGAAACTAGAATTCAGACGCGGTGGGGTGTCGGCGCTACTCCGGTTTTAATCTGTATCTTATTTATCAGACGGATATTTTCTGTGAGGAGCATCCTCCCACAATGCATCACTCTGCTGCCATTAAAGATGCATGATGGGGGTATAAATCTATCTGTCTGATATATGTATAATGTGTGTTGTGTTTCAGTCGGTGTTCGGTGACGGCGAGAACACGAAGGTTCGAGTCGCAGAGCTCGAAGAAGAAGTTCAGACGCTGAAGAAGGTCAACAAAGATCTGTACGACTTCTCCAGCCAGCTGCTCACCAAGCCCACATAGACACATGTACACACAGTACACACACTCTGTACACGCTCTGTACACACTGTACACACATTTAAACACTCTGTGATGATTTAGAAAATAAAAGTCTTGTTTCTGTTGGACTTCCTGTCTGCTCTGTTGCTTTGTTGTTCCTGGCTAAGAGGGTTCGAACCTGTGACTCTGACTCTGTCGGCGACCCACAAGCACCACAACCAACCGCCAAACTACCCCAAACACCTCCACTGCCTTTATCTGACCCCTCTCTGATCCCCTACCCGCAGTCAGCTGAACTGAACTAACCCCGACACCTTTTTTTAATTAATTTTTTTATTTAACCAGATGATCTCATTGAGATTTAAAACCTCTTTTCCAAGAGAGAGCTGGCCAAAATAGCAGTATATTAACAAACGAGCACATGCACGACAACACAGAACAATTAACAATACCCTTACGATACATAAACAAACATTAGACCACTTAAAAGTACAATTTAAACATACCGTAGGTTTAAAGGATTTACTTATTTTAAAAGCAGTGACAACAATTTATAGCGTCTACTTCCAAGTCTTTAATGCTGTGTTTAAATTCATCAAAAGAAATCAGATTTCGCAACTGCAATCAGTCCGCAGTGTGTTCCAGGTGGACGGGGCAGCGTAACTAAAGGCCTTCTTACCGAGCTCTGTACGGACCGTAGGTACAGATAACCAATACAAGCTACCGGAGCGCAAATTATAGGAACTGATGTTGCATGAAATGTAAGTGCAAAGATAAGAGGGGAGCAGCATAGACTTGTAAATAAAAGTGAGCCTGTGCCTCCTCACTGATAATGAGGGCCAGTTTGTCATTTTGTACAAGGTACAACAGTGTGTTGATGCTTTACATCCAGTCACAAACCTCAAAGCACTGTGGTGGACAGTATCCAACAAAGACAAACATCCATCAGGCGCACTTCTATACAGCAGGTCACCGTAATCAAGTGCAATGAGAAAGGTTGCAGCAAACAAACACTTGTTTCTAAAATAAAATCCTATCTTTAGTTGAGCTTTTGAACCAGTTTATCAATGTGCAACTTAAAAGAGAGCTGATCATCAATTAATATACCCAGATATTTGTACAATTGGACTTGTTCGATCTGCTCACCATGTATAGTAAAAATACTTGGAAGACTGTCCAGACACTTCTTAACATTCAAAACTAGCTTTAGCTGATACAGTTGAACCTGAACAAGGTTAAAAGCGGATTGTAAATAAGAAAAAGCTTGATGTAAAGTAGCAGCCTTACAATAAATAATGGTATCATCAGCATAAAAATGGTCCCTTTAACTTAAAGGGACAGTGTAAGCTTTTCCTCCACAGCAGGCGATCGTTTGCAGAAGCAGAGCTGAATGGCCCCTGAACCTAAGCTAGGTGCTGCTGTGGGTCAGCAGCTAACGTGCTGTAGCCGCTTGAACGAAGCGCCGTCCAGGAAAACCTTTCTAAGAACGGCTGGAGGAACCGCCCACTTTTGTGGTGTCATTTTTTTAGCTCCTGCTTCTTCTCCCAGCACAGGAGGAACTTTGAATAACATCACTGTGCGTTGATTGGTTGAGGGGCTATTTAGTCTCAGCCAACAGCTGATTTCACAACAATCAGGTTAGCTTGTTTGTGACAATTTGCTATTAGACATCGCTATACAATCACACTTCTTTCTGCAGCCGCTGGAGTCGCCCCCTGCTGGCTGCTGGAGAGGTCGCAGGTTTAAGGCTTCACCTTTCAGACCGGCAGTATCTTTTTTTCCTTTATTACAAACTGCTGGCTAATTTTCAGCTGCAGTCCTTCGGCAAGATGTTCAAAATGTACAGAACAACATCAAAACAGCAACAAACACTACACAAACCATGTGAAGCAGCCGGGACAGTAAAACATCAGTCCAAACAGAAACAAGGTTTGCGCTTGGTCGGAGCGCATCAGTCCTATAATCTTTAATAATTTAAGCCCGTGGCCCCTCCCGGCTCTGCACTGTAGGAGATGGGGCCCTCACCTCTGAACACTGTCCCTGAGGGTTGATCCACATCACATCTGTTGGTCCTTTTAAATCCAAACTGAAAAGACCTTTTGACACCAGTTGTGTTTACATTGGTGATTTTATGACACTCCATGGCTTGGTTTTCCTTTTGGCCTCTTTCCCTCACCTGGTTTTGGAAAGTGTCCTTGGGCGATTCAAAACGCTGATCAATAAAATGATTAATATAATGTATATCTACTGTATTTATTATCCCATCATGAGAAGTGCGACTGCTCGTTGATATTTCAGCGTCTCTTCTAGATCGCAGCTCGACTCGGTGTTATTATAAAATTATATTTCCTGTTTGTGTTTTCAGCTGCTCCGACTCTGTGAAGCGGCTTCAGGAGGTTTGGTCGTTACTGGTTCATCGTCTTCATGTCGGCACTCAGCAGGTTACAAACTGCTGCCAGATCCGGCCAGGTGTTCACACAGATATGAAACTATAAATAATAAACTGTAATCCAAATATATGAAGGATAACAACACATTAGAAATATTAAAAACTGGATTAGAGCCAGAGATTAAAATCTCAAACACGATTCATTATTCAGACGGCTGCAGCTTCGTCTCTGCCATCTTCAAACTTACAGAACTTTATTTAAATCCCAGCAGAGACTAAATCTGTGTTTGGTGAAGTGAAGAATATGAACAGCCTGCAGCAGTCTGAGGTTCAATATTTCATCTGGCTGTCTATAAAATGTGAACCTGACAGACAGAGACCAGGGAAAATCTGCCCGGCAGGTCAGAGGTCACGATGTGTAAAGTGTGTGTGTGTGTGCGTAAAATTCGTTTATTACTCATTTAAAAAATCCTTTTTCAAGGGATTTTGCATTCAAGTGTTTTGGGTTTTTTTTCAGACACAGCTGGTGTGGGTTGGTTTGGTTGTTATGGTAACACAGATGTGTGACATCAGAGCGGTGGTGAATATTCATCCTGTTTCCTGTCTGACGGACAGCTGAGCGTGAACATCAAACTGCTTCACCTGAAAGGCTCGACATCACAGAGTCAGCCTGAAGGCCGAGATAACCTGCTTCCTGCTGCCGCCGCCGCGCACAGTAACTACCACTACACACTGATATACACACACACAGTAACTAGCACTACACACTGATATACACACACACAGTAACACACACTGATATACACACACAGTAATACACACACTGATATACACACACACAGTAACGTCTCGGGTTACGTATGTAACCCTGGTTCCCCGAGAAGGGGAACGAGACACTGCGTCGGTTACGACACTATGGGAACGCCTCTAGGCGAAGCAGGTCTGAACGTGAATGAAATCACTCCAATCCTATTGGCTTGTTGCTAGAACGGTAAGGTGTGACGGAATAACCGGAGGAGTATAAAGCACACCTGTACACACTCATCATTAGCTTAACTATGAAGCAGGCGCTTCAGGCGGGGAGAGAAGTGCGGCGGGCCGACGCAGTGTCTCGTTCCCCTTCTCGGGGAACCAGGGTTACATACGTAACCCGAGACGTTCCCCTTCGAGGGAACTCGAACTGCGTCGGTTACGACACTATGGGAACGAGATACCCACTAAACCGTGCCGAAAACCCCGCCTGCCCCTGTGTGCAATAAAGTGGCACGACTAAGAGGAGAGCGCACGAGTGCCAGGTGCCGAAGGAAGGTCAAGACTGTAAAACCGAATGAATGGTGCGGAGTGGCCCAGCCAGCCGCTAAACAAACATCCTGCAAGAGGCCCCGGAAAGGAGGGCTCGAGAGGCCGCCATGCCTCTGGTAGAATGAGCCCTCACAGCCACAGGTGAAGGCAAACCGCGCACCTGATAGGCCAGGGAAATAGTCTGAACAATCCAGTTGCTAATAGTATGTTTGGATGCAGGGAGCCCGGCCCTGGGAGACCCAAAACACACTAGCAGCTGGTCAGCCTTCCTCCAACGGGAGGACCTCAGAGTGTAAATACTCAGTGCTCTGACAGGGCAGAGCAGATGAAGTCTCCCGTCCTCCGCCGTCACATGAGGTGGAGGTTGAAATGCCTGCAGCACTGTGAACCCTGCCGCACAAGAAGGCACTTTAGGGATGTATCCTGAACGAGGGTGCAGGATAGCCCTAATATTCCCCGGGGCAAACTCCAGGCTTTGCGGGGAAACCGAAAGCGCTTGGAGATCCCCCACCCTCCTCAGAGAGGTGATAGCAAGGAGAAAGGCCATCTTGAGGGTCAAGTGCTTAGCCTCAGCTGACTCCAGGGGTTTGAAGGGGGCCTCAGCCAACGCCCCAAGAACCACTGCCAGATCCCAAGTGCGAACCTTGGACCGAGTCGCAGGTCTCATCCTCCGGGCACCACGGAGGAAACGTACAACCAAGGGAAGTTTCCCCAAGGACCCCTCCCTCAGAGGGGTGTGGAAAATAGCTGCCACGTACACCTTGAGGGTGGAAGGGGAAAGACCAGCAGAGAACCGGTCCTGGAGGAACTCAAGTACCTGAACCACCGGGCAGGTAACAGGGTCCACCGACCGCTCCCTACACCAAGTGGAGAAAACACTCCACTTCAGGCCGTACATCCTCCGTGTGGACGGGGCCCTGGAGCTCAGGAGGGTCTCGACTGCTCCGGCTGTTAGACCCGCCTCTAGGTACTGTGCCCCCTCAGGGGCCAGACCCACAGTCGCCATATGGCGGGGCAAGGAGCGACATGATGTCCGAGAACCACAGGGTTGGCCAGAACGGGGCTACGAGCAGTAGGCCGACATTGTCCTGGCGGACCCACTCCAGAACCCGGGAGCAGAGCGACTGGGGGAAAAGCGTACAGACGTAGCCTCGGCCACGAATGTACCATGGCGTCCAGACCCAACGGGGCTGGAGGAACGAGAGAAACCATAGCGGGCAGTGCGTAGTCTCTTGAGACGCAAACAGATCCACGTCTATGGGGCCGAACTCTTCGCACAAGAGCTCCACCACTTCGGGGGGAAGTCTCCATTCCCCGGGCCTCAGCCCCTGCCTCGACAGC